GATTTATTTTTTTATCTTGTGGTACGAAAATTATCATATTTCAACTAATCCTACCGCCACTCATAAAATATTTATTTTCATACCACTCATTTATTGCATTTAAGGGGAGCTGTGGCCTAGTGGTTAAGGTGTCTGCCTCTCAACCCAGAGATCATTGGTTCGAGCCCTAATCGGGTCACAACCATGTTTCTTCATATGACACCATGGACCAGTACTGGTTGGTTCCAGGAAGCGGACTCGAAAGTGATTAATATAAGTTGCAAGAACATGTTTCGCAATCGAGCTTAAATAGATATGTTTAAACCAAACCATTTATTGCAGGAGGCAGACCTTAACCTGCAAACTTTTAGCAATGGGGTTTACAGCTTTCAGTGAATCAGTTCATTTAAAGTTTAAGGGGTTTAAGTATAATTTACATTAATGTTTAACTATCAAGGCTAGTATTCACGGTTGTGTCGGCTGCTCTAGCTCTATATACCGGTATTCAAGCCCTATCATTTTCTATTCAAGCTCGTTAAGGACTGAAGTACTTGACAGTCTTCCTTTTTTAATTAAAAAAATTAGTACTGAGAGCAAAAGTCTGACAATTATTCAAAGCATGTTGTTGTCATTTTTTGCCCTCTCTGTTCTAGTGTTGAAATAATCCAATACTAGTATGTCTTAATAAAGGGCATAATTAGCATTCTAACACTATCGGATTTTTTTCTAAATAAACAAAGAAGGTCCGAAGCGTGCATTATTCTACAATTATGCACTCGCCGTTCTTATTATCTCCCTGTGTATTTTCACATTGACGGCGCCATTTTGTTTGAAAAATCTGATAAATAAAACAATTTTTTGTCGAATTTTGTTGTGAAAACTATCTAGAATGAAAGAAAATGGCCTAACTAAGAAAATGAATCCGAACACCAATATCTTTAATTCAGTCACTAACTCTGTACATACGTTTAAAGTGTTGTTTACGTGACGTCACAATGTAGCGCCAAACAGCACGTGCAAAACAATCAAATCAAGTACGCTATTTTAATGTCGCAAACGAGTCAAGTTTTACATATATTTCACTTTTAATAATTTGTATTTCGCTTGGAAAATTATAGACTGAAATAAAATAAACAAACAAAGTTTTATCAACGTCTTCAAAATTCGTTATTCTCAAAATGTTTCTACACACGGTAGATTTAACGACAGTTTTTTTCAACCCACTGGAACGGCCTTTAAAGAACGTTTCTTTTGGAAACTCTGAGGCGAAAACAAATCTAACCACCAAACATGAAGTCCAACTTTATAATAATAATTATATTTTTTCTTGACGTGTTAGAATGGAAATAGATATTAATTCATCGTGCATTATTGTATAATAATGCACGTTTTTCGTTCTAATGCTTTGTAATTAATCACTCAGGCCTATCGGCCTTCGTGATTGTATTACTACGCATTTGAACTCAAACCGTGCACTATTCTACAACAATGCACTCAGAATTGATATCTATTTCCTAATTCTAACACTATCGGATTTTTTTCTATATAAACAAAGAAGGCCTGAAGCGTGCATTATTCTACAACAATGCACTCGCCGTTCTTATCACCTCCCTGTGTATTTTCACATTGAGGGCGCCATTTTGTTTGAAATATATGATAAATAAAAACATTTTTTGTCGAATTTTGCTGTGAAAACTATCAAGAATGAAAGAAAATGGTCTAACTAAGAAAATTAATCCGAACACCAATATCTTTAATTCAGTCGTTAACGATGTACAGACGTTTAAAGTGTTTTTTAGGTGACGTCACAATGTAGCGCCAAACAGCACGTGCACTACGCTATTTTAATGTCGCAAACGAGTTAAGTTTTACTCTTATTTCACTTTTAATAATTTGTATTTCGCTTGAAAGATTATAGAGTAAAATAAAATAAACAAACAAAGATTTATCAACATTTTCAAAATTCGTTATTCTCAAAATGTTTCTACACACGGTAGATTTAACGACAGTTTTTTTCAACCCACTGGAACAGCCTTTAAAGAACGTTTCTGGCGAAAACAAATTTAACCACCAAACATAGACAAAGTCCAACTTTATTAAAATAATTATATTTTTTCTTGACGAGTTAGAATGGAAATAGATTCATTACTATATCCCAGAGTATCTCACTTCTCCCGGAGTATTTCGTTCAAATGCTTTGTAATTAATCACTCAGGCCTATCGGCCTTCGTGATTATATTACTACGCATTTGAACTCAAACCGTGCATTATTCTACAACAATGCACTCAGAAATGATATCTATTTCCTAATTATATTTCAATATTTATCACAAACTGACACAATTATTTTCATCGTTCTTGGAGTATCTCACTTCTCCAGGAGAATCTCACTTATTCCAGAGTATCTCACTTCTCCCGGAGTATCTTACTTCTCCCAGAGTATCTCACTTCTTCCGGAGTATACTCACTTCTCCCGGAGTATCTCACTTCTCCCGGAGTATCTCACTTCTCCCGGAGTATCTCACTTCTTCCGGAGTATCTCACTTCTCCCGGAGTATCTCACTTCTCCCGAGTATCTCACTTCTCCCGGAGTATCTCACTTCTCCCGGAGTATCTCATTTCTCCCAGAGTATCTCACTTCTTCCGCAGTATCTCACTTCTCCCGGAGTATCTCACTTTTCCCGGAGTATCTCACGTCTCCTTGAGTATCTCACTTCTCCCTGAGTATCTCACTTCTCCTGGAGTATCTCACTTTTCCCAGAGTATTTCACTTCTCCTGGAGTATCTCACTTCTCTCGGAGTATCTCACTTTTCCCGGCGTATCTCACAATTCCTGGAGTATCTCACTTTTCCCAGAGTATTTCACTTCTCCCAGAGTATCTCACTTCTCCCGGAGTATCTCACATCTCCTGGAGTATCTCACTTCTCCCAGAGTTACTCATTTCTCCCAGAGTATGTCACTTCTCCCGGAGTATCTCACTTCTCCCGGAGTATCTCATTTCTTCCGGAGTATCTCACTTCTTCCGCAGAATATCACTCCTCCCGGAGTATCTCACTTCTCCCACAGTATCTCACTTCTCTCGGAGTATCTCACTTCTCCAGGAGAATCTCACTTCTCCCGGAGACTATCTTACTTCTCCCGGAGTATCTCACTTCTCCCAGAGTATCTCACTTCTCCCGGAGTATCTTACTTCTTCCGGAGTATATCACTTCTCTCCCGAAGTATATCACTTCTCCCGGAGTATCTCACTTCTCCCGAAGTATCTCACTCCTCCCGGAGAATCTCAATTCTCCTGAAGTATCTCACTTCTCCCGGAGTATCTCACTTCCCCCTGAGTATCTAACTTCTCTCGGAGTATCTCACTTCTCCTGGAGTATCTCACTTCTCCCGGAGTATCTCACTTCTACCGGCGTATCTCACTTCTTGCAGAGAATCTCACTTCTCCCAAAGTATCTCACTTTTGCCGGAAAATCTCACTTTTGCTGGAGTATCTCACTTCTCCTGCAGTATCTCACTTCTCCAATAGTATCTCACTTCTCCCGGAGTATCTACCTTCTGCTGGAGTATCTCACTTCTCCTGGAGTATCTCACTGCTCTCGGAGTTATCTAGCTTCTCCCGGAGTATTTCATTTCTCCTGGAGTATCGCACTTTCCGGAGTATCTTACTTCTCCCAGGGGTATCTCACTTCTCTCGGGTATCTCCACTTTTTCTCGGAGTCATGTAGCTTCTCCCATAGTATCTCACTTCTCCCGGAGTATCTCACTTCTCCTGGAGTATCTCACTTCTCCCGAAGTATCGCACTTTTCCTGGAGTATCTCATTTCTTCCCGGAGTATCTCACTTTTCCCGGAGTATCTCACTTCTCCTGAAGTATCCCACTTCTCCTGGAGTATCTCACTTCTCCCGAAGTATCTCACTTCTCCTGGAGTATCTCACTTCTCCTGGAGTATCTCACTTTCTTCCGGAGTATCTCACTTCTCTTGGAGTATGTAGCTTCTCCCGGAGTATCTCACTTCTCCCAGAGTATCTCATTTTTCCATAAGTATCTCACTTCTCCTGGAGTATCTCACTTCTCCCGGAGTATCTCACTTTTCCCGGAGTATCTCACTTCTCCCAGAGTATCTCACTTCTCCCGGAGTATCTCACTTCTCCCGGAGTATCTCACTTCTCCAAGAGTATCTCATTTCTCAAAGAATAATTAGAATATGTCTAATATAATTTTTATGCAATGTAGGTTTTTTTCAAGCAATCATTATACATGCATGTAAAATAGTGGTAGGAACAGAGACAGAAAGCTTTAGAAAGAAAAGTTCTACTATGAACGACCAATAAATTATTTTAAAGAAATTAAATTCTAGTGAACGGAAAAATGATAGAGTGAATTTGATATTCAACATTGAACGGGAAAAAATACGGATTAATTAAAGGTGAAATTCTACAGTGAACGGAATGTGCATTGACTAAATGTAAAATAATGTAGTGAACAGAACTATTTGTAGAATGTAAAATTCTACAGTGAACGGAAGATGTTATTGAATGTAAAATTATACAGTAAATAGAACAATTCTTGAATTCAATGTGAAATTCTGCAGTGAGAGGAAGATGATATTGAATGTAAAATTCTACAGTGAACAAGAGAATTGATTGATTGTAAAATTCTGCAGTGAACCAACGATTTTTATTGAATGCGAAATTCTACAGTGATTGAATTTAAAATTCTGCAGTGAACCGAAAATTTCATGTTCAATATAAAATGCTGCAGTAAACAGAAAAATTTATTGAATATGAAATTCTACAGTGAATGGAAGAATTTATTGAATATGAAATTCTACAGTGAACGGAAGAATTTATTGAACATGAAATTCTACAGTGAAAGAGAAAATGAATTGAAAATATAAATTCTGCAGTGAAAGGAAAAAATGAATGAATGAACGGTATAAATGGTAAAGTCGAAAACGTGTTCGAAAAACACGGATAAATGAGAAAAAGATAATAAATAAATAAAAACGGAATAACTAACCGTTTGTTTGGTACTAACGGTTTCTCCATATTTAAAGTACGGCGTCTTGTCTGTTCCTTTGTAGTCTTCCAGAGCTAGGTAAAGCCCATCTCCCTATATTGTCCTTTTTTCCCTTTACTAATGGAATATTTATTGTCAAGAGAGAACGAATTATCACTTGATTGGAAAAGAAATCATTAGATGATACAAGAATAAAACAAATATAAATCGAGCATATCAGTTATTTTATTTTAAATTATGTATTTTTGAAGATTATAATATTATCCCTTGTTCCATTTTTATTTTTCTAATCGAATCCGATATCTAGTAATATGCGCAATAAATTCCTAAAACACGAACGTTCTCATGAGATAATACCCATTTTTACCTTATCTTAAAATCTCTACCTTGATATCAGAGGAGTCCCGCGTGATATCTTTAGTTATAATTTTTAAAACGTTATCTATCAAGTGGCAGTTTTTTTATTTCTCTCTCGCCACAAAAAGATCGAATATCGTGGTATTGTTTAATGAAAGATTAAAGTTTTAGATTTTTTAAATTTTTCAAATAAATCTTGGTCCCTGAATTCACAAAGAAAAAAATATCCAAGACTATAATGGTGAATTTATTGTTTAAATAATGATTACATGCACAATACGGATATCAGACGAAATTTTAAAAGAACACCTTACTTTATTACTAGCAACGCATTTAAGATCAAAGTTCGAAATACCAACGACGTGACTGAACACCAAAAACAGATCATGAGCTGGTGTTGTGACCCTTTGCCGACCTCCAACATGTCTCCTGGCGGATGTACCATGTAGCCGGTATCTCTCCACGGCTCTGGTGATGAGGTTGTGGTGTACACCAAGCGCCGCACAAACCTGAAAATGCTCCCTCCATAACTCTGCTTCTCTCAAATGCCGCCTAATATTAGCGTTCACCATATAGAAGTGACAGATGTAAGAAATGTAAGCCACTGAATGACAATAACCCGGTGATGTCGCCGTATAACAAAAGACATGTAATTGTACTCCGAATCAAGAACTTGAACAGATTGGGGTGAATGATTTCCATGCTACCTAGAAGAGTTGCAACGGATTAGTCAACACAGTTTCATGTCAGGGGTCTATCTTAAAACATTGCTGATTCAGAATTTTCGAAAAATTGGAAAGAAGTCTATTTTACACTTGTGATGATATAAAAATTAACTTATGATGCTAAGCAAAAGTTGAGTAATATAGTTGAACTAAAAAAAGTCGAATTCATCAGGTGGCACAACCTTTAGTCATGCAAACGTGAAGAAGTTTAACTTTTGACTGCATCAAGAATTTGTCACTGTAACTTGCTTAATAGAAGGCTGTATCATCTATCAATAATCCACCGATTTTTGTTCTTATTTTCTAGCAGAATATGTGTCTGCATCCAGAAATCGAAATTGTAAATCACTTAATTGTAGGCCGTTTAATTTATCACTATATTTATCACTAAACCGTCGGGTTTTATGTTTTTATGTATAATCTGTATATCATTTTATATAGCATTATCAAGCATTGCATGCAATGCAAATGAATCGTAATAATTTACGAAAACGGACAGATATTTGCGAAAAGCTTCCAAAGTGTGATTTTTACTAATCGATAAGACATTTTCCCCCATTTTTAAAGACTAAATTTCCCTGTCTGTGTTACCAAACTTAGGATAAATTGTTGTTAACTGTTAGTCACAATTTTTGTGCTAATCTTGCTTCCTCTTTAACAATTTAAAGAAAAATAACACTAAAACTTCACAATTTTAAGAAAAATTGTGCTCGCCTTTCAAAAATAAAAAAGACCCCTTCACAATTTAAGAAAAAACAAAGCCACCGCCTTTCATTATTAAAGCAATAAGATTTTTTCAAGCATTTTAACTCACATTTTACTCTAAACAAGCTTATAACAAATGTTACATTAAGAAGAAACTCCAAAGCTGGCCGCCGAGATCTGATTATTCTTTTTTCCACATAATGGACAGTTTGAGGAGTTTCTCTTACTTGAAACATGTTCTCATTTGTATTCATAAAAGACAGTTGTATAATTCCATGTATTCCATGCGAACATTGAAAATAACTTGCATCCATTGCTTACTTATTCATTGAACACTTGCTTTTGATGGAGGGAAAGGAAATACATGAAGTTAAAAAGCATATCTCCATGCTTTACTGTCTTAGGTTTATAGGTGATATGAAGTCTTCATAAGATCTGATCCCTTTTCAAAATTCCAATTTGTTTAGTTCCCGCCATTGTTTTCTCGTTAAGGACGCACGCTTTCTATTACTTGGGAACAATAAGCCGCTTTTCATGGAATGACACGGAAGTGTCACATTGAAGTTTCCATGATAACCTCCGTATGAACACATCTGCGGATGTTTCTGCATTCAAAATTTTGCCATTTCATTTTCAATTTCGTAGTTTCTCTATTTTTGTGTGTGTGTCCAGGAATGTTAAAACATCACTATCAGTTATTCGTTTGTGACTATAAAACATAGTGGAATAATAAAGAAAAAGTACGTATATTTCTTTATTATCAGTGATTATTGTTAAAATTTGGTTTTTCCCATCATAATTATAGTTTTACAGTTTTACATTATATAATTGAATACTCAAAATTGATGTTTTGTTTTGTTTTTACATTAAAAAAGCTCATTGAAATCAAAGCAGTTTCACTGGCTACAGGTAAACAAGGGGAATAATCCTAATGGAAAGGAAGCAAACTCGCCACAAATCTATGTTTGATGCACATGGTCGTTTGCATTGTTTTATTTTGTTCTTTTTCTTTGTTAATTGTTAAGCATTATGCCTAAAACAAAGTGTTAATTTCTGTATAATAAAGACTCGTATAAATTTAGTTTAAATACATGATCATTTCTGGAATTTAAAAAAAGAAAAAATGCTTGATATTGCTTATATCTTACTAATGTTCATTTTCCTATAATTCATTCATTGATGTTTAAGTGTTCTTGTTTACTAACGGTCAGTTCCAATTGACAAATAATGATTTCAGTGTTACTAGTTATTTCAGAAACTAAAACCCTAATAATCAATATCTTGTTCAACAGACAGGAACCATTTGAGCAATTTTTGTAAAGTACTTTTTATTGATAAGTCCTGTACAGTTTCATCAAACTCTACCTTAAATTTAAGAAGCTATCGTTTAAAAGTTTATTCTACATGTATTTTTAACTATGGTTGCCACCTTGTTCAACAGACAGGAACAATTTAAGCAATTTTTGTAAAAGGATTTTATATAAAGTATTCCTTTATACATGTATCTTCATCAAAATCTATTAAATAGGTAACTCAAGGGACGAGATATCGTTTTTAATTTTTAGTTTAAGCTAGGGCGGTAGACCGGCACCCATTAAGCCATTTTCAAAGAGGGCTATCCGAGGATCATTCCTGTGTAGTTTCATTAAAAATGAAATCCACAGAATAGTTAAATAGGAGTTTATAGCTTTTTTCCCTTTTTTAGGTTTGGTCGCCATCTTGTTCAGCAAACCAAACCAAATGGACATTTTTGAAGGATTATTCGAAGATTACTATTATTCAAAGGATTATTCGAAGATAACTATTATTCCTAACAGCTTCCGTTAGAAGATTTTTTTCTTATTTTAAGCTGTTGCGACCATTTTGTTTAGCAGACCAAATACGACTGACCAACTTTTTTCAAGGATTACCAAATGGTAATTTCTGTGAAGGTTTATCAATATATATAGGGTGACTGAAGATGAATATCAAACTTCACTTTTTCTTCTTTTTTTAAGCTCATTTGGCCATCTTGTACAACAAACCGGAACCATTTGAGCATTGTTTTGTAAAGGACTATATATTTATAATTCCTGTATAATTTCATCAAAATCTATCTCATAGTGAAGGACGAGATATCGTTTAAAGGTTCTTCTATTTTTTAGCTCTGCTGGTTACCTTGTAAAGCAGCTCGCTACCAAATGAGAAATTTTTGGAGGGGGCTATCCAAAGACCATTCCTGTATAGTCACTATTGGTGCAGGGGCTTAGGAGAAAATATTGTTTAAATAAAAATATTACCAACGGACAACAGACGACGGATATTTATCAGGCCGTGATCAGGTGATCTAAAAATGAAAAGTTTTTAAAAAATACTTATTAAGATGAAAGCAACATCAAATCTTAAATTTGGCCTTTAAAATGATTAAGTATATTTCTAACTGGTCAATTTGTCTCAAAAGCTAATGACATGGCTGCAAAAGAGTATATAACACTCAATATATATTTTGCTTGTCCACGAAATAATTTCCATCTATACAAGTAAAAGATCAGTGACATTAACACTGAAAAGTCCCGACAAAAGTTATTGTTAAAAAAAGAATTATTTTACAAGAATCCATCTCCGAAATAGGAAATTATTTTCGAAAAATAAATTGCATCTTCTTTCAGCTGAGAAATAGTAAGACAAAACTAACATAGGGTATTTGAATGACAGGATAACTTGAATTATACTTCATAGACACGTCATTTTGTACGGATATTAATGCTCGAGATTCTCCCTATTTCTTTTATGTTTCGTGAGGATTGATTTTAAATATTCTTCTAGAAAAAAAACCCAACGCAATAAAACTTAAAAAGTAATTTCACTAGACGCATTTATGTACCCTTAAGAAACATAATAAAGCAGAATAACAGTTATAATCCCAGTTAATCACATATTTCTTGGAAGAAATGTCTTATATACTCGTACGGATTGAATTATTATCTTTTATTCAGGAAATAGACAAGAACAAGAAACACATATATTTTTTTTGTAAATGATTAAGTTTTATTTTCAGCTTTTGTAAAATTCGATAACAAAATAAATAATTGGACGGTTTTCTTTGATATAATCACAGTTTTACCAGACTTTTAACAAATTTATCAACATAACTATACAAGACTTTAGTGTAAATAAAATATTGTTATATCACATCTAAAATAAAAATGCACTAGAACACTAGATTAAGATTTCTCTTCATTTTTTGTTTCTCTATTAGTTTCTCTCTTCAAGTTTTATTCGTATATAATTAAAAAAAAATAACGTCGTTTTATAAATCAAAGAAATATCTAGAAAATGACTGTGTATTATACACTTGACAAAGCCAGTCGCTTACACAACACAAATAAGTCATTAGGTCCCTTGTAACACATATAATACAAATCACTTTCACAAAACTAGAATAAAATCTTCATAATGAGCTCCCTTTGTTAATGATTGTTTTCCATAGTTAGCTCCCTTTGATAAGGTCTACTTTATACCTTTGGAAGATGGTAACACTGAAAGAGAAAACAAGGCACATAAGCATGTGATGATTAGATGTGGAACATGGCAATA